TATGGCTAATTAAAATTTATATTTAATAAGTCTAAAATCTTCTTCTTGAATATTAAAGAAAACCAAATACTAGTTTTTATCAATGCAACTATAAACAGCTTCTACTTGTGACAACTCAATATCAAAAGTTATTGACAACTCAATATCAAAAGTTATACACAAATAATATAATATTTGTTCGCCTAACTTTATAGGAAATGATGCATTTCTTTAACATACTAACTTTTTCTTTAAAATGCTATATTAGCTTGTGACATTAACATGTTATGTTTAATAAAATTAATTAATTATTTAATAAAACACAAATTAAGCAGGGTATATGGCAAAAGGAAAGTCCGAAATTTATTTTCCACATTTGAAACCTTTTTTCTCCTTATTTATTACTTCAAACGCAAGTTATTAAAATGATACACAATCTAGTGTAATAAAACAGGGGATGTCAGTTGATATATTTTAATATATACTAGTTGTTACAAACTAATTTTATCTCCTGATGATAGTTAAACAATAAAACTTGACAAAAATTTTACTCAGGGTGTTTGTCAAAGGAAAAGTCTAAAATTTATTTTTCACAATTGAAACCGTTTTTCTCCTTATTTATTACTTCAAATGCAAGTTATTAAAATGATAAACAGTCTAGTGTAATAAAACTGGGAATGTCCATTGATATATTTTAATATATACTTGTTGTTACTAACTAATTTTACCTCATGGTGATAGTTAAACAATAAAACTTAATAAAAATTCTACTCAGGGTGTATGTCAGAAGGGAAGTCCAAAATTTGTTTTAACTAAAATAATTATTTTAATTTTTTTTAAACCAATGAAAAAAAAAATTAAAAAAATAAAGTTCTATATAACAAAATAAAATAAGGTATTTCAATTCAAGTTTCTAATTAAGTTATTTAACTCAAAAGTTAGTTTAACCTCCATGAAAATATTGTAATTATTATTTTTTAACAATCGTAAAATTATGAAACCGATATAATATTTTCCGGTTTTTAATATTTTGGCAACCGTTTCAGATAATTAACCGTGCATAATTTGTTTAGCTTTAGCTGTAGTTTGGTTTTAATAGTTAAATATAGTAAGATTTTTTTCAACAATATAATCAAGTTAAAAAACTTTTACTTAATTTTTTTGGGTACATCCAACGACGTAGCAGACATCCCCTAGACACGCCCCTGATAAATCAACACCTCCTCTTATTTCAAACAACTATTTTAACTGCATGAAATTGCTACATCGAAACATGGAGAATTTTGAAAAACGAAAGTCAACATTTTATGAAACTTCAAGCCGCAATAACTTTTAAAAAGCTTTAAATTATGGTCTCAAATTTTCAGATTTTTCTCATAAAATGATTTGAAGAAATCCCTTAAATTTCTTAAGAAAATTCAATAACTCAACTATTTCAACTTGCCTCATTCTTATAAAAAACAACTCTTAAACTCATTTGTGAAGTTTGACACTTTAACACACTTAAAAAAAAACATAAAAATATACTCTGATTGCTGCACAACCAATTCCCTTTAGAAAATCATTTGTAATATTTGTTTTAGACAATCATTAATAATTGCTACACAAGCAATTTCCTTTGAACATACTTTGATTTGTTTTTAGTTAAATAATTGTTTGTAATACTCTATTTAAAAAATCATCGGTTATAGTCCTTGAGGACGAATTTTGCACAAAGAAAACTTTAATTTAATTAAAAGCTTTTATTAAATTAAAGTGCTCAACATTTGAGATACGGGAAACTACCAATTGTTTAACAGTATGTAATAAGTCAAAAAGCAGGGTTGTAGCGAGTGAGACTTAAAAGTCTAAAAAGCACTTATTTAAACATAGCGGTAGAATTTAAGACCTCAAAATCATTAGTTCTTTATTTTTATTGCTAACTATATTTTTAAATAAAATTTTTAGAAAAAAATGTAAAATAGTATAAACATTCAATTAAGTTTTTTTATAAAAAATGTACAGTTTTTAGTAACTCGTAGGCCAATTTGATAGATATTACAAAATGTCCCATCTCTTTTAGGGATGGAGAAGCAAATTATGTTTAGCCTTAAACAAAGCTTGTTAAGGCATCAATATGCATAGCAAATAACAGGATAAAATAGTTTTAAAATTTTAAAAACAAATTATTATAGTAGATGCAATAAAAAAACTTGACAAAATACTGAGAAAAGTGTTATTCAAAGGCTTTCTAAAATTTTTATAATCTGCTTCACAGTATTTTACCATAAAATTTTACCAAAACAACTGCCTAAATGATTCAGTGAATGTTAAAAGGGCGGAAGTCCAACAGTGTAAAATTTTGGGACACTAAAAAAAACTGCGTTTTCCCCTATAATAAAATTTCGTTAATGGTTTAATTTTTTTTTTTTTAGAATGGAAAAAATATGAAATAAAATTATTAGGCCATTAACAAAAATTTACTATGGGGGAAAATGCAGTTTTTCTTTGCTTTCCGAAAGTTTACATTGTTGGACTTCCGCCCTTTTAACATTCACTTATTCAAATAATGCATAAAATTCTACCCATTAATTAGAGTAAATATACCACAAACCGGATAGTGCGTAAAAGCGGACGCTTATCGAAAAACTAAATATCTTCACTAAAAATAATAATTTGAAAAATTTTAAAAAGTTTTTAATTTTTACTGTGTGGAAAGTTATAAATTTTTTTCAAAAAAAAGATATATTTATGATTGCTTTAATAAGATATTTAAGTTCAAACAAAAGCTAACCCTAAAATTCTAACTTTTTTATTGGAAATTAGGTTCTTAGCATGAAAGTTTTAAAAAGGCAATTTAAAAGCAAAGAAGCTATTTTGTTGGAAATTTTTTTGCTAATATCTAAATTAGTTTTAGAATTTCATAATCTTACTCCGTTAAAAAGTTATGACGGAAATAAAATTTTATTTAGTTTTTACCTTAAACCAGACACAATAAATCCACCCTATAATAAATTAAAATTTAATAGGTTATATCTATTAATTTTTTCTGTTTGTTATTTTTTCACTCTAATTGAATTTTTTTTATTATGTTAAAATTAATTTATTTTATTATTTTTTCACACTGACTGAATTATTTTCATTTGGTTTTTTTAAGTTTCCACATTTGCGTTAATTAATTTTTGTACTTATACTCTTGAAGTTAAAGTGCAAAAGTACACAAAGTAACCACAAAAGTGTCTCGTTTCTTCAATTTCAAAAATCTGTAACTGAATTGAATTTACTAAACTTCAAATGGAAAAAAACAAACCAACAAAAAGCCTTACACTGAGGAGACAATAAAAAACGCATTGAATAAAATTGAAAATGGCGATTTAAGCCTTAGAGGCGCAGCTCAATTTTACCGCATACCAAAATCAAATTAATTCCGTCTGTAACTCAAACTTCAATTCAACTTTAAATTTAACTTCTCAAGAAGAATTGGTGACTCGTGTAAAAATTAGTTTTAAAAGAGCTCTCTTAAAGCAATTTTAATTCCAAAACGCTTACAAACATCCTGCAAAAAAAGCCAAAAATGTTAGAACAGTGGCTGGTCAACCTTTTACAGAAGAAGCATGGTTAAACAAGTTGAGAGAAAAAGAAAACGCGAAGGTATTAAAACGAACCTATGGTGATTTTGCAGCAGCAGAAGTAGAAACTCCTGCCAAGAAATCCCAAAAAAAGTACAAAAAGTGCAAAACGTGCCTAAAGTTTTTCGAAAATGAAAAGCCAGATATGCAAGTTTTATGGAAAACTTGTAAAAATCAAGTTGCAGTTCGTGGCTTTGCAAACCTTGTCTCCCAAAAAGATATATAAAAGGCGAAGAACTCTTTTGCACGACAGGTTGCAGAACCTAATTTATAAATTTTTTATTTTTATTTCAGGCTCAAGCTTGCATATGCTTTTTTATTTGTTTTTTTCTAGTTTTTTCGGCTTGTATTATTATGTGTATATTTTAAAAATAAAAATATTGAATATATCAATTTATTTAAGTTTTTTTAAATATAATTTGGAACTGTTCGCTTTTAGGGACAATTTTCCGAAAAGCGGACACTTTTTAAAAAATAAAATTTTATTTTCCATAGAAACTTGAAATTAATATTTTATTTTTTTTTACACAGGGGCGGATCTAGGGGGTATCCTGTGTTGCCCAGGATTCACCCATAATATTCTAAGAAATTAAAAAAAATTCCATTTCATAATCTAAAAAATACTAAACTTAAATTTATAGTATACTAATATGTATATATGAGTTCTATATAAAAAAAAAAAAACATTGCATTTATAGAAAAACATACACGGCTATAACAATGTTTCAGACTTAGCTCTCCTCCGTCATGTTCAAAACGCTGCTATTAAATCAGGATTCTTTTTTTAAAGTAAACGGTACCGAAGAACCCTTTTAATCAATCGTTATTGCAATGTATTTATTTTGCTTGCCGTAATAAAGGCCAAAAAAATCCCTATTGTTTCAGGATTCATTTGACCCGAATTTCCGGTAGACAACAAAAAAAGTAGCAATTCTGTAGTGTAATACACTACAGAATTGCTTTAATAATAAACTATATTCCAGAAAAATAAATCGTACAAGTTCTCAATATTGAAAAAGTTATTCAGCTTTTTGTGAAGAGTGTCCGGTTTGCGGTACTTTTACTCTATAAAGCAATTTATCTTTTTTTTGAAAAATTCAAAAATATCCGGAAAATTTCCTGTTATTTATAAAATTATTATAAAATTTGTTAATAATTTGTTTATAAAAATGAAAAAAAAAGAGAGTTTTAAAAATGAACATTATTTTTGTGCATAATGTATAAATTATAATATGCAAATTCTAGAGAAACATGTTATATATTTAGAAAATATCATTAAAAAAAAAAACAAAAAAAAAAAAAAAACACAATTAACGGAATAAAAATATTAATGAAATAAACAACAATAAAAAATGCATACTTTAACAAAATAGCAAGATAAAAAAAACAACTTTTTTTTTGTTTTCAAAAAAACCACATCGCCTTGCGTATAAAAAAGGTGTTATGAAAGTTGTAATCACTTAAAGCGAAGGTAGAGAGAAAAAAGGAGCACAAACGTAATATAAATTACAAATATTATTTATGATTTAGAACAAATTAACTAACTATGCAAAGTTGCCGCTATTATAAATAAAACTTATTAACCAAAAATTAAAAAATATTATAATAACAGCAAAAAATAATTTCTCAATCTCAATTAACAATCAAAAAATCTCATTATTATTATACTCTTCTATGCAGATTAATAACCATAGCAACGATGCTAACGACACTGACGAATAAATCGTCAATAATCAACTTTGAAATGTTAAATTTGATCAGCTGAATTCTTTGTACAAGCAATTTGATTTATTTTTCCCTTAAAATAAAAATGTCATTAAAATAGATTTAATTATAATGCAAAATTCGTGAATGTCTAAATTGTAGACTCCTAATTTTAAATTCTTTTTTATAGTTAGTACAAAAAAAACTAATTTATGCTTTTTAATATCCTTTTAAAATAATTTTATTTTTATGAAAGTCTTTACGGTTAACAAGCCTGATTTAAACTAAAAATAAATTACCCTTCAAACTACAATTTATTATTTCCTACAAAAGTAAATTTTAATTTTGTTCAAATCTAAGAAATACTACTTTTATTTTTGTATTGTTAACCATTTTTTAATCTTTTGCAAACTGCAAGACTATTGTTTTTTCTAATCAGTTTTTTTTTAATCAACTTGAATAAAAAATTAAAAAGAAAAAAAGAACTCGAATTGGATAGCTTAAAAGAACTCGAATTAGATACATTTAGAATGACGATGATATAATTTTTTGTTCCACAAAGATTTGAACAAGACATTCCTCAAGAAGACAAAATGAGCCAAACAAGAAGTTTCAAACCTAAACATATCTTTAAATTTTAAGTAACATAGATCATCCTAGTAATATTATAAAATTCCGAAAAATGGTTTGAATGAAATATCCGGAAAAAATCTGGAATTTGTTTTCCCTTATTTACTTTTTAAATTCGTTTTTAGCTAAGTTTTTTTTTTTTTTTTTTACAATAAATGCATAATTACTGCTTTGAAAATTGGCTAACAAAGTTAACATCATTACTTACATGCGAAGTCCTTATGCCATCTTGGCTCCAAAATACAACTTCACAAGTATTTTTTTTGCCAGTCCTCTCATCAAATGAATGACACATGTTAAAAGGTGGAGAATACAAATGAAGTGAAACAGCTTGTTGAGTATGACTTCTATTCTCAATACGATGTAACCCAATAGTATCTATAAAAAAAAATACTGTTTTTATCTAAACTTTAAAAAAAAATTTCAATGAAAGCAACATTAAAACTTTTATGTCGAGGACAAAAAGATTTAATACAGAGACCATTTTTCAGTTTGTAATATTTGTAATATTCAGTATATATATATATATTCATATAACAAAAATAACATTTTGTTATTTTTGTTATATATATATATATATATATATATATATATATATATATATATATATATATATATATATATATATATATATATATATATATAACTACTATACTTAGTTCAACAAAGCTAAAATTAGTGACTTCTAGACATAATATTTAAATATGAATGCAAATAATCTACAAAATATCATTATTAGTTTTTAAGTGTGTTTTATTAACATAAAACACTATAATTTGCTCTAAAAGTACAAATAAAATGTGCTCTAAAAATACAAATAAAAACATAAACAGTAGTAATTCTCTAACTGGATGAAATAATATAAATAAATTGGTATTTTTATGATGATATTTGATTTTACACAAAACATATTTTTTATATTATTTGTTGCGAGCCTGTTGAATATTTATATTTGGCTCATTTTACAAGATTTATTTGTATAAATATGTACAAATTTCTAAATATAAATAAATTTCTGTATCTGTTTTATTTTATCTATTCCCCTCATTAAAAAATTACTTTATAAAATAACAATAAATTTTGTTTACCCAGTAATCAATTATTAATTATGATTTTAACACTGCTGATTATATCAACAGTGTTAAATTAATTAAAATTTAATATAATAATTATAAGTAGATAATTTATTCAGCTCACTTAAATTTTTAAAATGCTAACTTTAATACAGACATTTAGGTATGATTAATATTTGTTACAGAAATTAATTTTTCTTTTTTTCTTTATCTAAAAGTGTCTGCATGTAAGTTGGTATTTTTTAAATTATATTGAGTATAATATACCAGTACCGTATTGACCTAAAACTGCATTAGTAAATTCATTATAACAATACCGTTAATGTATGCAACTTGATTTTTTGTATAATCTCTGATCCTGTGTGGCTTCATTTGGGCATGACCTACATTAGTAGAACAATCTACTTCATTTGGCCAGTCATAGAGCTTTTCTGTAAGAGTTCCATCCATTACTTTCATCCAGCAGTGGGAGTTAGCATGATCATGGATAGCACTAAAAGAATGTTTAAGCTGTGAATATCAAACTTTTGCATAAATAAAAAAATAGTTTTGAGATATGAAAACAAAAAACATAATTGAAGTAATAATAAAATTATTTTAACAAGACTTTTTAATACAAACCCACTCCAAAGCAAGGTATTAAGATAAGATTGTTTTAACCTAAAACCTCCTATACGATACCAATTTACATTTTTAGCTTTTAAATACTTTTATTATTACACTATTTACTTTTAAATTAAACTATTTTCTTGTATTTACTATTATTCACTATTTAAATAGTATTTACTATTATTCACTATTTAAATAGTATTTACTTTTAAATTGCTTTTATAGTCTGAAAATATAAATAAATCTAAAAAAAAAAATTTTCTGAATTTCTTTATTGAGTAATCACAATCACTAAATATATTAAGTTAATATATGAAGAAAAGTAACAAAAATGAATAATATTATGATATGTTAAATATGTTAATAATTACATTCAAATGCTGATAATTATGTTTAATCAGTTATAATTATGTTAATATATGTTGAATAGTTATAAAAATATTAATAATGTAATGTATAATAATGTCAAGTTGTTTATATTTATATTTGCTAGGATTCCATACCCAAGTGACCAATGACAAAAACAAATTATCTTCTATCCATCTTTAAACAACCATTTTTATTTTTTTATCACCCAAGATTTAAATTTTACTTTATTTTTAAATTATAGCATTTGATGGAAAATAAAATTGGACCCTACAATTCATCATGCTTATAAATCCACTGACCAGAGAAAACTCCAGCTATAATATTAGATTGTAGAATGAGTAGGGCTGACTATTGAATTATTAGTCACGGGGTATAAATGTTGCATATTATACTTTGACGAAAATTATATTGTAAAAGCTGAAAATGATTGCATACAATGTTCTGGACTTTACCTCCAACTAATAATATTCAAGCAAAAAAAGTATCATGGTGCTAACAGGATTCAGAAAGTCATGAATAAACCAAAACTACTTAGGCCTTACAATACTTTTCTTTTTATAAGCAAGAATTCAATGGTTCAACCAGATAAGTTATTTGTAAACAGCTGCTGAAGATGAAAGGAAAAGATAGCCAGTTTAAATTGACAAATCTTTGTCTCTTGTGTTTACTCTAAAAACATCCAGAACCTAATAATGTTTACCTAAATTATATATAATATGTAAAAGAAAACTAGCATGTTATAAAAGCATAGTATTATACTTTTTGCATGCTAAGCTCAGTACAACAATCAAGTCAAGCATAACTTAGAACATATTATGATCAATGGCAAAATTTCTTTATTCTCAAATAAATAACTCTTATCAAGTTTGCAATGTTTGTAGATTAAAAACATTAATAATAATCCAAAATAAACATGAAATCGCTTCCAGTAGACAATGTAATCAGATAACCTTGGACCTGGAAACTATCCATTTCTGGATTTGTAGTTTAGAATGTCAAGATATAATGATTCTGAATTTTTTTGTTGTTGCTGGATTTGTAGTTTGTAATGTCAGGATATAATGATTCTGAATTTTTTGTTGATTGCTGGATTTGTAGTTTGGAATGTCAGGATATAATGATTATAGACTTTCTATTAATGCTCAAATAAGCGAATGTACTGGTACATCCAATGATGGAAACACAACAAGAACAGCATTTAGAAACCTTAAAACCTTTTCTAAAATACTCGAAGTTAATAAAGATTATGTCAAAATTTTCTATATTATTTTTTATGTGTTGTTGTGTAAGCACCTAATACTACCAGATAAACTTGAATATTTTAAAATTTGATTAAGGCTGGAGTGAAAATATTAGGCTTTTAACTGCTCCTGTCTCCTTGCCCATATAACTAAATTTATGTATATATAAACAATGACATTTAGAGAGATATCATTGTTTATATATACATAATAGTTACTATTTTTTTAATCAAGCAACGAATTTCCTAAATTGCAATACTTTGTTTCCTTAATCGAAAATAGCATTGTCAGTTTCTTTTTAAAAAATACTTAGTAAAATCAACAAAAATGAATTTAAAATTATTTTCAATTTTACAGTAAACTATTCAATGAATTGTGTGATTTAAAAATAAATAGTTACGATCATAAACCTTTAAAATAATACTTTATTGAATAGTTTTTAATAAATTTTATTAATTTTTTAAAAGTTCATTTTATATGAGCAAATCAGGCTTGGTCGGGAAGCGGGTGTGATCGCACTCGATAATTGACCACAGAAATAATATTTAGTTGCGTAAAACCGGCCAGATTTTTAGTCGTTCTGAGAACATTTCAAAAACAAACAAAAAAGCAAAGCAAGATTAACTGGACAGTTGAGAGACAGTTAAAAAAAGAAAATAGCTTTTAACGCAAAAAAAATTTAAGCAATAAAATACGATTAGAGCAATATTTTTGAAACATTGTTCTTTTTTTTTTTTTTTTATAAAATTAGGCAACATTTTTTATGTAAAGTAACAACTTACTATTAATGATTGTTTAATATGGAAACAAATGTTTTTCAATTTATCAACAAGTATATAATTTTTATTTTTATACTCGTCTTATTTCCAGTGCTGTTTGAGAAGGAGGGGGAGAGGGGGATGTGGTAGAAGGGCTACAGCCCCGGGACTCACATTGTTAGAGGCCGCGAAGTAGTCAAAATGACCATTCGATATTTTTTTTTAGTCATTTCTATGCTGTGGCACATAATAAATGCCACTAAAATAATGCAGCTTCCGGCCCTGAAAAATCCAACAAGATTCAGCCAGTAAAACTAACGCTAGATGATTTATTTATAAATAAAAAAGTTTTTTTTAATAACTGTTTTATGCTTCGCGTAGTTTGAAAAGTTTAACATATTTGAAACTATTCTTTTTAGTAAGAACAAATGAAATAATTAAATCATTGAGTTACTGTAGAAATTCAATTAACTAGATAGAAATTAACTAAAAACATTAAATTACTTAGTGAGGAGGAAGCGAAACAGCTTCACATTACCGCTGATAATGTTTAGTGAGTGGGCTTTATAATTAATTACTATTTAAAACAGAAATGAGCTAAGTATAACGATTTTGTAAGAATGGCTGAAGCAAAAATAATTGAAGTTAGTTAACCAATTTCTAAGAACTTAAAAACTTTTCTTTCTAAGAACTTAAAAACATAAATTTAAAACATTTATTTTTGCAAACAATTAATGTTAGTTTAAAACATTTATAGCTTTGTAGATGTGGCTTCGAGAATGACATAGTATTAAAATAATAGTTTGTTTGATAGTATATTGTTAAAACAATTTATGCTAGAAATCTCGACGAAAACATAACAAAACTCAAATAATACAACTTTTTAAAAACATTCAACAGAATACTAGAACATTCGTTTATTATTTTTTGAATACTCTAGATATTTCCGCTAGTATTTTTTAAACCAATAGAATTAGTTGTTAGTAGATTTGGCGGGTTTTTTGTGTTCGCGAATATTCTTTTTTTTATTTTTCCACACAAAGTTTGAGAACATTTGAGTTTATGTATGTTTCCGTGTAAGTCCGTAATACAAAATATTCTAAAATTTACGATAACTTAATAATTATTTTGCGGACAAACAAGGAAACATACATAAACTTGAATGCTCTCAAAACGACTAAAAAATCTGGCCGGTTTTTCGCAACTAAATATTAATTTCGTGGTCAGTTATCGAGTGCGATCGCACCCGCTTCCCAACCAAGCCTGGCAATTTATATATTTTTTGAATGAAATTCATTCGAAAAAGTTATTATATATTTATTATTTATTTTAAATCAATTATATTATTTTTTGAATGAAATTCATTTAAAAAAGGATAAAAATTGCCCAGCCAAAATGATGTTTTACAAATAATAAATTGTACAAAAGCTTTAATTAATATTATGCTCTTTTATTCTATTAATTGAAAATCATTCAATAAAGTATTATTTTTAAGGTTTATGGTTGTAACTATTAATTTTTAAATTGCACCTAACTTTTTAATTGCATCCAGGGGTCTGGAGTCATAAAAAAAAAGTAACGACTCCGACTCCAGTTATTGAAATTTTTTGAGCACAACTCCGACTCCAACTCCGCTTCAACTCCAAAGCAAAATTTTTGTAAAATTCTTTGAATTCTTTAAAAAATATTACGCGATAAAATAAAAATTTCTTTTTTGACAAATTTATGAAATGTTATCTGAGGTTTAGTATTAACATAAGGTTAATTGAATTTTTTGTACATGCAAAAATGGAGTCGTGATTTTGTTTGGCAACTCCGACTCAGTTAAATATGTTGCAACTCTGACTCCACAGCCCTGATTGCATCACTGATTAAGAAAATATTTATAGTTTCGATCGAAGAAACTTCTGACTATTTTATTATATCACTACAACATCTTATGTCAATATCACTGCAAATGATTACAGCAATTTATAAAATAAATTTTTGTTATTATTTGCATTTTAAATCTAATAAGATAAAACACGAAAGTTTGTTTAACCCACAGAAGTATAGTTTACACTGTGTAATCAGTATAGTATATAATATGTTTTATAAAATATGTGTTTAGAAATGAGTAAATAAGTGTGAACAGTACCAATATATTTCTGCAAGCACTGTTATAATTTTAGAGTTTTAGAATTTTATAAGTTTATATTGTTATAAGTTTAGAGTTTTAGAATTTTAGAATGTTATAACCTATAATTTATATATATATATATATATATATATATATATATATATATATATATATATATATATATATATATATATATATATATATATATATATACATATATATATATATATATATATATATATATATATATATATATATATATATATATATATATATATATAATATTCAATTTTCATATTATTTTAAACTATTACAAACGAACTTAAAATGACTCTCATTTTCATAATCAATCATTCATAATCATTTATAATCAATCATTCATAAAATCACTCTTATTTTAAAAAGTTACAGGGTAGGCAAATTTTGTTATATCAATTTTAAAGCATCAATCATGATGTCATAAACTTTTTAATCATTAAATTTTCTTAGATAATAAAAATAAACAATTAAACAATTAAAGATAATAAAACAACTTAAATACTCTTACATATAAGCAAACATTTTTCTTACCTCCCATGACCTTCTCCCCAACAAAGCAAAATCAAATTAAACTTTCCATTTCCAGAATGAACTAAATTTCTGGTATACCTTAATATAAACAACTTTTGCCATAAGTAATTTTATAAAAACCAAGGAAAGTAATGAATTTTCAAATAACTAATAATAGTCTAGTCAAATTAGGGTCCAACCTGGACAAAATTTGGATGAAGATAAATTTGGTGTCATTCAAAGCATAATTTTATCTACTTTAACATATCCTAAATCCACCAAAATCTATTTTGGGCAAAAAAAGTTATGATTATTATGAGCTCACCTCACTTTTATTCAAATTTATTGAAAATGCAAATAAAAACTTTCGCGTCTACTGGCAATAAGTTGTAATAACTCATTATAAGGTTGTTAAGTTTTTATGAAATTTTGTGCAGATATATCCTAATACATAAAAATTTAAAAAAAGGAAATGTGCTTTAAAAGTCATGTTCTTAAATGTTGATGTCAGCAGTTTTTTTTTACAATATTTTCTGATTTGGCTACTACTTATAGTATATAAAAACACCTTTACTTAAAAATTTATTAGATAAATAGTTGAAATAGAGACTTTGAAAAACTTGTTTATAAATATAACTGTTTAAAAAAACTACTTTTAACTACTTTTGAATAATTTTTTATTTAAGGTTTAAATATTAGTGCTTTTTACACTCCACTATTATAATTTGAAATAAAATCAAAAGTCAAACATTTTTTCAAAAATGTTTTTATCTCCACATTCCTGTAAGGTACTGATTGCTCCACATTCGTGTAAGGTGCTGACCCAATAATTCCTTGTAGTCTCTGACATACCCCTTCCTCTCGTTAAGCCTCAACCGCTTTTTATTGATCTTATCGTGCACTGTTCAATTACTAAATCAGGCCAAAGATCAGTCCAGTATCGATCTGTACGTCTAATACAATGGTAACCTGATTTACAGTACTGCTCATAAAGCCAAGGATGTTCTGAATTAAGTGGATTTATTTTTAACTTAGACCAACATATTCAACTGGTTCATTTGTGGTAACCTAGCATTACCCAATTCTAAACATTATGATCGTTAATCCGTAATACAGGTGCGTAAAATAAAATTCAAACAAAGTCTGCTTAAGGTTTGTGAAGACAGAAAAGATATATGGGCAATTGAAGTAAAATCTTGTTTGAATTGCTTTTGTGATCTGGTTGCAAGTGATGCTATGTACCACTTTGAATGTTATAAGCTATTTTCAACCAACAGGATTTCAACCAACAGGTTTTAATTCCAATAAATTTGAATTGATTTATCTTCTCATGTTATAGCAATATATAAAAAATGTTGTTAAATGCAATTAACAAGTTACAAATTGACCAATTCTGATTGAGTTTTGAATTTTTATATTCGTTATATGTATTTTTATGTTTCATATGCTAATCTAGAATGTCCTAATATATTTACAGGTCAAAATTGATTGAAACAGAAAAGCCTGGTCACAAAAAAAAAATTCAACAATGGCGGAACACTTTCTAAAGCTTTTTGATTGGTTTGAGAGTCTAATGGCTCCTGTCACAACTACTAAATTGCACATTAAAATGGAAGAGCTAGTGAATTCCAAAGATATTTATTCAGTGAAGCACTTAAAGAGAAAATTAGAAGAAAAATACAAAGACGACATAATTATTAGCCAAACTGAAGGAAAATCTAATTTAGTATGCTTTAAAGATGCAGCTACATTTATTATTAACAAATGTAAGGCAGAGAACATAGATGCAAACAAAGGTGAAGTTATCGTTAGAACCGCGGCCAAGTTGATAAAGGCAGAAATTTTGAATCTTAAGTTCAGCACCCATCTAAATACAATATTTGAGCATCATGAAGAAAGTTTAAGCTCATTGCTTTGCCTGTTTATGAGAAAAATTACATCTGACGAACTAAAACAATCTTCCTTTAGTCAAACTACGTCCCACCTTTCCTTTTTGGTTTTGGAATAGAACTAGATCACAAGTTTGCATCAAAATGGTTGACAAATGAGCTATTTAAACTAGGCTTTTGCATAAGTCCATCAGAAATAACACGCTTTAAGCACTCTGTTATGGCTAACAACGATAACATTATTGAAGGAGTGCTGAATGGATTATTTACTCAGTAAGTGGCAGACAATGTTGATCATAATATCTGCACATTAGATGGTAAAGACACTTTTCATGGGTTGGGAATCATCGCTGCTGGAATGTTGAACTCTAAAGTTTTAGATAATCTTCATCAATTTAAAAGAATAAGATATGGTTTAAAGGCAGCAGAAAAAAATTCTAAAATAAATATTCCAATTTTGTGGTATGAGGTTCCTGACACAGCAGCATTAACAAAGATATTGTTTGAGCCCATTGTTGAGCTTCAGTCACCACAGGCTTTTTCACTGTCTTTTGGTATTGATCTTTTCTGGCAAAGCTCGTACAATTCAACGGCTGGTGAAAACCGGACACAATGGAGTGGGTTTATGCAACTTCATCATAATGGTAAATGTCATTACAGAAAAAGTGAGGTATTCATGGCGCCTATCATTAACTTAAACCCATCTGATGAAAACTGCATTTATTCTACACTAGTTTTTATACAAAACCAAGCAAAATTAATGAGTTTACCTACTCAAAGTGTAACTTTTGATCAGGCTTAATGGTTAAAAGCTTATGAAATTGCACAGTCTAAGCATTTAAATAAAGTTATTCAATTGGGAGGATTCCACATCTTAATGAGCTTTCTAAGAAGTATTGGTAAGGTCATGGAGGGATCAGGACTAAATAAATTACTCGAACTTATTTATGCAAGCAACTCTGTCACGCATATAATGACTGGTAAAGCTGTAGCTCGAGCACTAAGAGCTCACTTCTTAGTTGAGTCTGCCTTAATGAGTCTACTTTTTAAACAAAGCCCCAAAGATGAAGCTGATAGTTCTCTAGAAAATATGTATCAGGATATGGTCCAAGGAAACATAGATTTGGAAGAGATAAACTATAGCAGTGTAACTATAAGATTCACAAATCTTATTGAAAATTTAAAAACACAGCTTTCCAGTTCATCCAGAACAGCAAAGCTATGGGTGCAATATTTTGAATACATAAGCATTATCAAAATGTTCATCAGAGCAGAGAGATCCGGGAACTGGCACAAACATTTGGAAGCCATCAGGCTTATGCTTAATTTATTTGCCGCAACAGGGCATAAAAACTATGCCAAAAGTCCTTGGTTATATCAACAATCCATTTGATATAACCAAGCACTTTTGGCATTTAGTTTGCCCATATATCTTTTCTGTCTTCACAAACCTTAAGCAGACTTTGTTTGAATTTTATTTTACGCACCTGTATTACGGATTAACAATCATAATGTTTAGAATTGGGTAATGCTAGGTTACCACAAATGAACCAGTTGAATATGTGGTCTAAGTTAAAAATAAATTTGTTTACAAAAAAACAAAAACAAATATTAAGCTAGTATTTTGCTATTTTTAAGCAAGTGGGATGTCGTTATGATGAGACCGCACAAAAGAACATAATTGAACAAAGTAACTCCTACATATATAAATATAGTTAATTGTATGGATCAGTGACACAAGCACAAGATTGAGTAAATACAAAAATATACTACTGATCACAATTTTTTAATTTTTTGGGCTTTCCAAAAAATTAAAAAATTGTCCAAAAACGTGAATAAGAGGTTTAAAAAACGTCTTATTTTACGTGAGTGTCCACTGGGATGCCACATGGACAGCAGCCATGTTCCTTTCCTTAAGTTCTTCTTCAAGGTCTTTATTGTTGCTTACTGTGAATAATGAATTAAGGTTTTAATACCTTTCCTTCCAACATTTATCGTTTAATTAGGAAGGTCACTATCTTTGCAAAGCAAACAAGTTTCTTTTAATGTGTTCAACACTGTATATTTTAATTTAAGATATATTTAACAATATATCTGAAATTAAAACATGAAATTTAAAAATAATATTTAACAACATCAACATACGGCTCTACAGTATACCAAGTACAAAAAATATATTATTTGAGAAGAAAAATTGGTGCATTTTGAGCATGCAATGCTGGTATTAAAGTAAAAAATGCTGATATCAGCATTTTATGTAATTAATGCTTACATTTTTATCATTTGTAAACTTTAAATTATATTTTTACAAAATGTTATATATACAAGTCGTACGGGTTTAGTTTTTTTTTTTTAATCTAAAAAGTGAGGTCAGCAATAATAGTTATAACTTTTTTTGCTCAAAGTGATTTTTGGTTGATTTTGGATATATTAAAGTTGATAAAATTACGCTTCAAATGATACCAAATTCATTTATATCCAAATTTTGTCCAGGTTAGCCCATATTTAGACCTAATTTGACTAGACTATAAATTAATGATATAAAAGGTAGAAAATACATTATATTCATAATAAAAGAATATGTAATATATACAATACAAACATATAATATTTAATATATAGAATAAAAATATGTTTATGCTTTATTTAGCGTAACATAATCTAAATACATTTTTATAATCACAATACACCTATACTAATGCATGGGTTAGACATTACTCTGCATGCTAAATACCCATTCATCAACATTTTTATGCTCTACATAAAATTTTTCTCTTTCCTGAAACACCCTATCAGATACACTCAATATTTTCAATTTCTGTATAAGGATCATAGTATTGTTTTTTACCTTTTTAAACCAGAACATACATCTATCTAGACATTTTTCAGGGATTTTCACTGGATATCATCAGGGATTTTCACTGGATATCATCAACTTAGATTGCCATACATAATAACACTTTATTGCAACATTTTTTACTGTCATACATTTTAACATACTATATACACGTGAACATGTGTAAAAGTACATTCTTTAGTCCAGTTTTTTATTTTATTTTATATGGTTAGCAAATAGATACTATTAAAAATAACTTCAAAATAACTAATAGCTTATTTACCTTAAAATATATAGCTTAATTACATTAAATGTTTTGATTTTGTTGACTGTATTGTTAAAAACTTGACTAGCCAGCTAACACAAAATGTTCA